AATGATCAACATTAGATAGTTATTGAAAACCACACTGATTAAACCAATCAAAGTTTTCAGTCTTTTTATTAGCGGCCAGACAAAGAGCAGGCTCCTGCCTCTGAAATGCTTCTTGGTGCCCAAGTTGAGGCACACAGCATTTTCAAAGGCAAAACCCATAAAGACCATAAACTATATCAAAGTTGGATGAGGGTTAGAATAACCTTGAACTGTTCATTGCTGGCAGAGCACAGTAATTATTTCAGACATAACATGACAATTACATTTGGCCTAAATCTTTAGCTGTTTTAGTTTACTGAAATTATTTTGGTTAATATTTCTGGCCCATGGTCAAGGCCATAGAAATTTCAAGTGTGTTGCAAAGGCAGAGTAGGGGAGTAGGGCTGAGGGTGGAAAATTGTCTAAGTAAACACAAAATGGAGCCAGAACAGGATGGCATTACCTTAGTCATTTCATTTTATCACAGCAATCGAAAACTAAGACAAGGAGTGACTCCATTTTATTTTCAGCCTGACATGTTAGGATCTAGTTCAGGAGTTTAGGACAGAACAATGGTGACATGTAATTTTTAACATATAGAGAATGACTCACTCCAGGTACTCTTCACCATCCTCAGGTAGTAGGCGGTTTCAGAACCACGTATTTTAGGGGTTTAAAAAGAGTAACGTGTGTGTAAGTGACTTTCACACCTTTTATGATGACTACTCTTGGTGAAGTTGAAATGCTGTTTTCATTCTGCATTTGCGTAGTTCGGTGCTTTGTTCAAAGTTAAGTGTTTTCAGAAAAGTATGTTTTGCATGTATTTTTCCACAGTCCAAATTTTGACTGCTGAGAAGTTTCTGTTGTGCAAAACTTCATTTAAAAGGTTTTTCTACTGAATCCAGGGTATTCTGAAGATCGAAGCCTGTGTGTAAAAATGCTACCAAATGGCAAAAAGCAACAATAAACAAGTTTGGTTTTTACTTTTCTTTCAAAATATCAATGCTTAACCAGAACTTTACTTAAGTTATCAGTAAAGAATTTTAAGATGAAGATGTTTTCTTTTCAAGAGTCCATGAAACTTGCCATAGTCAATATGCCTGCAATTAAGTGTAAAAACTATGCTGTTACTCTGTGCTGTTAATATTAAAGCAAAAAATCTTTCCATACAGCAGATGCTTAATGCTTACATTATTGTGGAGTTGTCGTCCTTTATGTAATCTGTATTATATATAGCAGGGGATAAGAGCTACAGACACACACCTTTAAAAGGCTGTTTCTCAAGGCTGTTACAAGGAAATAATGGTATTTCAACTGGTTATCAACAAGTGACAATACATTCCACCACAAATATACTCTTGTTCTTCTAGCTTTTAGACTATATGAAAATACTGGGTGCTTCAAAGTACGGAATGAGAGAAGGGATCACCACAACTGTGTCATGGATGAAACTGAAGACTGCCTGTTCATTTTTTTAATATTATTTTTAGGTCCTTTGCTTACCAAAGGAGGCTCAGTTCACTCAAATGTTTTGAGAACTGTTGAAATAAACACAAAGAGAAAAATTGCTGATGCAAAAAAAAAAAAAAAAAAAAAAAGCAACATATATGTAGCTTATAGAACACTGCACCTCTGGAAGTTCTGAAGCAGTTCTCACACTAATTAATGTAAAGCAGGCCATGAATCCCAGCCAGTAGAACTCAGATCTCTATGTGTTCTAAGATAACCTGGTCTACATAGCAAGTTCCAAGCCAGCCAGGGATATATAATGAGACCCTGTCAAAGAAGAAAAAGAGAAGGGAAAGAGGAGAGGGAGAGGATGAATAGGGGAGGAGGGAAAGGAGATGTTGCAGGATATTTGGTCACATTGTGAACCCTGAAGTTGTGAACTGGAAAAATCTGTTTGTTGTTGTGGTGTGGCTCAGCCCTAGCACACACCTTTAACCTACGAGCTTTTTTAAAATAAATTTATTTATTACAGTTTATTTACTTTGTGTCCCAGCTGTAGCCCCCTCCCTTGACCCCTCCCAATCCCACTCTCCATCCCTATTCTTATCCTATGCCCCTTACACAGTCCACTGATAGGGGAGGTCCTCCTCCCCTTCCATCTGACCCTAGCCTATCAGGTCTCATCAGGAGTGGCTGCATTGTCTTCTTCTGTGGCCTGGCAACAGAAGGGGGAGATGATCAAAGAACCAGCCACTGAGTTCATGTCAGAGACAGTCATTACTATCTCATTACTAGGGAACCCTCTTGGACACTGAGCTGCCATGGGCTACATCTGTGCAGGGGGTCTAGGTTATCTCCATCACTGGTCCTTGGTTGAAGTATCAGTCTCAGAAAAGACCCTTGTGCCCAGATTTTTTGGTTCTGTTCTCCTTGTGGAGCTCCAGTCCCCTCCAGGTCTTTCTATCTCCCCCTTCTTTCATAAGATTCCCTACACTCTGCCCAAAGTTTGGCTATGAGTCTCAACATCTGCTTTGATACCCTGCTGGGTAGAGTCTTTCAGTGGCCCTCTGTGGTAGGTTCCTGTCCTGTTCCCTGTTTTCTCCCTCTTCCAATGTCCATCCCATTTGCCTTTCTGAGTGAAGATTGAGCATCTTACCCAGGGTCCTCCTTCTTGCTTAGCTTGCTTAGGTATACAGAGTTTAGTATGATTATCTTATATGTCTAATATCCACTTATAAGTGAGTATATACCATGTGTGTCTTTCTGTTTCTGGGATACCTCACTCAGGATAATCTTTTCTAGTTCCCACCATTTGCTTGCAAATTTCATGATTTCCTTGTTTTTAATTGCCAAGCAGTATTCCATTGTGTAAACGTACCACAATTTCTGTATCCATTCCTCAATTGGGGGACATATGAGTTGTTTCCAGATTCTGGCTATTACAAATAAAGCTGCTACAAACATGGTTGAGTAAATGTCCTTGTTTATACCTGGGCATCTTTTGGATATATGCCTAGGAGTGGTATAGCTGGATCTTGAGGAAGCACTATTCCTAATTGTCTGAGAAAGTCTGAGATTGATTTAAGTGGTTGTACAAGTTTACATTCCCACCAGCAATGGAGAAGGGTTCCTTCAGAGAGGAAATAATTAAGTCACTGAAAGATACTAAGAGCTTTCTTTAAACAAGAGCTAAATAAAGTCAACCACAGGTCAAGAGGCAGAGCAAGCAAATAGTTGACAGGGAGTGACCATAGGAAAACACAGGAAGGAGGGACATTGAGCTGAAGGGTATTTAAGGCAGTGTGGAGAAGAAAGTGTTTTTCCTTGTGGGTCATTGGCTGAGCTGGAAGGTCAGCTGGGTGCTTTCTCTGCCTCTCTGAGCTAGTAGGCTTCCACCCCAGCATCTGGCTCCTGAGTCTATTCATAAACTCAAATGTTTAAGATTTTGTTTAAAAACAAGGAGAAGAGGAAGCCAAAGCAGCAGCCACCGTGCAGCTCATCAGCTTCAACAGGCTGGGCTGGTAATATGCTAAGGGAGCACCTGGAAGGCTGAGACAGGAGGATTGCTGCAAGCTCCAGGTCAGCAGACTTCATAGTGAATTCCAAGCCATTCTAAACTATGAAGTGAGACCCTGGGGAAAAACAGTGTATGTAACTAAATAGACGTGATGAAGGTGTGCAGTTTGCATTATCACTCTCAGTTCTGGTACAGCAAGGGGAGCCAAAGAAGTCCCTCTAAGCACTTACAGAGTCCAGCTGGGTCTCAGGAAATAACTTCTGGTCCAGGGTGTGGCACTGTGGTCATCTTGGATAACTGCCCAAGAATGACACACAAAAAGATAAACATCGCAGAGATCATGTGGCTAAGGAGCTTGTGAGTGAGTGTGAGTGTGAGTGAGTGTGTGTGTGTGTGTCGAGCAGTGTCAAGCAGTACCTTGAGTACTTTCTCTCCCTGAAGCTGCCTCTCCTACCCTCTCTCTCAAGGCCCTGGTACGCCAGTGTGAGCTTTTCCCTGCATCCTCACAGCTTCCCTTTCCTTCACCTAACCATCATTTAAAATAGAATCAAAAGAAAGTTATAACAACTCAGCTTAAGTATTTGTGAGGGTGGAAGGGGAAGAAAGGGGGAGAAGAGGGGAGTGGCTTGTAACCCAGACTGGCCTTAAACACACTCTCTTTCTCTCTCTCTCTCTCTCTCAGCAGTAGTAGCAGTCAAACACAGTTTTGAATTTCTGGTCCTCCTGCTGCTAATATTCCATGATTATAGCTGATAAGCATTCTTGCACCGGTGAAATGGCAGCAGATGATAGGAAACATTTGGCAGTGAAATGAGCTAATTCAAGACACGATAAAGTGTTTAAATGCAGGTATATTGGGAGCAGCTCTGGGCAGTTTCACTGGTACCAAGGAATGGTCGCCGTGCAGGAAGAGACAGAAAAGTGGGTGCTCGAGAGAGGAAGAAAGAGAGAGAGAAGAACCTCAGAAAGAAGAAAAAGGGGGTACCAAAATGTCTGGATTATATAATGAATAGCCTCTGTGGACACCCCACCCCTGGGCTGGAGAGTTCAGGGTTGAGGACAGGGTGTGCCAGCCATGGCCTGCAGCAGGTAGGGACCGAGGGACGCTGTGAGAACCTGGTCCCCCTTGGTTCGAAAGGCATTTCAGCTGCTTAAACTGGTTCTGAAGCCCAACAACAGGATTCCATAAGTGCTACCATGTGGTGCTTATGATGATCCAGAGCTTCATGAATACTAGGCAACATCATCTACCCAAGAGGTACTAGATATCCAAATACACAGGGAAAGGAGGCCAGCGTGGTCTACGAGGCGAGACCAGGACAACCTGCTACACAGAGTAACCCTGTCTCGAAAACAAACAAAAAGCCTTTATAGTAAACTGGTAAATGTGTTTCCTTGAGTTTGTGAGCTGCATGGCTAATTAATAAAACCCAAAGAGGAGCTCCTCAAGCCCCAATTTACAGCAAGTTAGCAGGACAGCCGCTAAGGTAAAAGAGCCTGAGGCTTCCAGCTGGCACTGGGAGGGTAGAGCAGATCCGTGGGGTGGCATTCTTACCTGTGGCATCTGCCGCCACATCCAGACAGTGTCAGGAGGGCTCAGTAGAAGGAAAGGACACTCAGCTGATATCCTCTGCAAACACAAGCGGTTGGTGGTGGACAGAGGTGACAGAGTCATAGAAGTCGTCCGTGTTGATTGTGGAGAATATCCAAAAAATGACAGGTTCCCCCTGACACAACTTCTCAGTCCTTCTCTGCCCGGCTTTAGGGTTACCATTTGAGACCAATTCTTGGGACAGACAGACAGCAGGTGATGTGGTCTCTGTAAGACAGGGCAGGGTTCCGCTGTCTCTTCCTGGTGTTGAGGAGGACCTTTCCTTCCTACCTGTAGCAGGTTCGTCTGCAATCACAATCACCTGTTTCTTATCTCTGCTGCGGCCCCCTCATCAGTAAACAAATTCTTCCCCCGTTATAACATCCCTTTGATCTTGAACGCAAAACCTGATCTCATGCTCTCTTCTGAGCCACCCAGGAACCAGGCCCAGTTTCTACCTACTTACCTTTCGCCGGGGCCTGGTTGTCAAGGCAACGCTTTGCCCGGAGCTTACCCTTCTGATCAAATGCCATCTGTGTCCTGTGATGCCACCTTGCTGATGTCTTCTCCGGGACTGGGGATGCAGACCAGGGCGGTTCTCTATTGTTTTCTAGCTCTCCGTTCTCCGGGCTCCACAGAGGCTTCCTACAGTTGGTGTAGCCCTATCCTAGTTAAGACCGCTTTCTGAGTGTAATTCAAATCAACCTCACCTGCCTGGGTCAGCTGATGCAGCCAATGTTGCGGTCGCACAGATCTCGGGAGCTTTTCGCAGGCTTTTTCTTTTTTCTTTTATTTTCTTTCCTTTCTTGTTTGGTTTTTATTTAAAGCCTCCAAAAGAGGATAGAGGATCAGCCAGAGGAAATGCCTAATAACACACACTCAGGTGGGAGTGGGCAGAAAAGCAGAGAGGCGGAAAGATATCGGCCTCGCTCTGAGGATGCCTGAGACCCTTCAGGATAGCTCAAGAGACCCCATGTGATTCTGATCTTTCTCTACAGACGCAAGGTAGCCCGACACGGCTCGTTTTGTCTAATAGTTTATTGTAGTTAACGCCTCACGTCTGACCCTTCGGTTTTCTCCCAATTCACTCCGAGCGAGCCAGATCTCCATTCCTAACTAAAGACCGCGTTGGATCACAGGGTTCAGGAATAGATTAGGGGCGGGGCGTTGGGCGTGGTTTCCCAGGGGCGTGCCCGAGTGGGCGTGGTCTGGGAAATTCCCCGACTAGGGAGGGAGCTGGCGCTGCGGTCAGCTGAGCGGCGCCTGGCGGGTCGCGAGGCCGCGCGTCACCGTCCAGCTGCCCAGTCGCCGCCCCCGGCCGGTCCCTGGCGGCGGTCAGCATCCAGAGCTCTGGTACTTGGACAAGATGTCAACGAAGCAGTGACCCGAGGAGAGCGGATCCCGGTGGCCGGTGAGCGGGGCCAGGGGTGGCGGGCGCTGGCCGAGCGCGGCGACTCTCCCCAGCGGGCTCCAGTCCACCGTGGCAGCGGTTCTCCTTGCTGCCGCGGACTCCGGGAGCCTGCCGCGGGGAGGGTGACGAAGCTGGGGCGGCCCTCCTGTAGGACGGCTGCCCTTGGAAGGCTTCCAAGGCCCAGGCGGGTCCTGACCTGGTGCGAAAGGGCGGCGTGGGGGTGGGGGGGTGGGGGGCGGCCCCCCAGAGGACACCCCTCTTTGCCTAGGATGGTAAAACATAGGCTTGGCTGGCCGCAGGTGACTTCCAGTTCAGTTCACCGAGGTGGTTTGAAGGTGACGTCCCAGGTTGGGAGCGATTAAGCAAGCAGTCAGTTCATTTTAAGGAGGCAGTGGTTAAAGGTACTGTCGCAGGGAATGAAGGCACTCTGGATGAGGTCGCCCAGGAACAGTGAAAAATAGACCCCTTACCGAAGTGACAGGCGGACAGAAGGGTACATAAACTGTTGTGTTTATCTGGGAGAGCGTGCTAGGTCCATGCATGTATGTACAGCTATGTGTGTTTGGGAGCGAGAGAGCAGGGCGGGGAGGATATGAGAGCATGAGAATGACTTTAGTAAAGCTGACAACTTTAAAGGAATGATTGTTTTCACCACAGGCGATGTGTAAGTTGGAGGCAGTACACAAGCCCTGGAAGGAAATGAGAACCCAGCCCCTGGTGCGGCCTCCACTACCAGGGCTCTTGTGGAGGAATGTGTGCCAGAGGTGTTTAAGGTTGAAATGGAAAATGTTATGGAGAGCCTCAAGAAAATAACATAAGGCAGTATTGGGCCACTTGAGCCTTCAGAACTAACTCCGAAGCAGCCCCTTTGCTCTTTTGACCAAGGGAGAGCAGTAGGGAGCCCCATTGCCTCAGGGCTGAAAATGGGGGAGAGCTGGACAGCGCAGAGGCCACTGCCACAGACTGCCCTGGGATTGGACAAGTGAGGTTTAATTGTGGATGTGTGTGTGCCTGATCTGTTTACACGGAGCCAGTTTGAGCAGTACTTTGTGTTCTATATTATGTGCAATGCCATGAAAGTAACTAGTTTTTACAACTGGCCTATGAATTGCATATCATAGGGTATGTGTGAGTGAGTGGGTGTGAGAGGGAGAGAGAGAGAGAGAGATTGTATTTTGTGACTCTAAATTAAACTTGAAAGGAATTGGTTATTACCTTCCTCCTGAACTTCCTCATTTAAGTAGCACATGGCGAGTTATTCCATGGAGCTTTTTAGTCCTTTCAAGAATTTTTAAATCAGACAGTAATGAGCATGAAGACAGTTTTCTACAGAATTTCAGAATTCTGTGATTGCCTACACATTTTTTATTAAAACCAGAGGTAATCATGTGGAGTGGCCTTACCTTCCAAGGCTTAGTCTTTGTCCGAGTGAGCTTTTTCTCCTGTTGGGTCAGTAGATCAGAGACATGTTGTGTATGAGGATTTTAGCAAGAAATTTGCCTTTTGGGACAAAATCTCACTGTGTGGAACAGGCTGGCTTCACACCATCTACGAATCTCATGTTCCTGAGTGTTAGAATAAAGCATGTGTCGTGGGGCTGGGGTGTGTCATGGGGCTGGGGAGATGGCTCAGTGGTTAAGGGCACTTGCTGCCCACCCAGAGGACCAGGATTTGAATTCCAGCCACATGGTGGTGTGTAACTGTAACTTTAGTTCTGGGGGATCTGACGCCCTTTTCTAGCCTCGGTGGCTACTGCACGGACATGGTTAAGTAGCAATGAAATGTACCTACTAATCCCCAACTCTGCTTTCCTGACATTTTGTCATAGAGAGAGACTTAGCATATTAGTGAATTCTTCGGATTTTCTGGAAAATCAAAATCCAAAAACGGAAATTACAGTCTTTAAATTTTCTTATGTTTACTAATTCTGTGTTTGTGTATGTTTGTGTGCATGCATGTTTGTGTGTGTGTGTGTGTTTGTGTGTGTGTGTTCATGCATGTATACACATGCTTGTCTCTTTGGCATGGTGCTCATGTAGACAGCGGGGGACAGTCTATGAGAAATCCATGGATCCCATTCAGGTCCTTAGGCTTGCAGGAAGTGCCTTTACCAACACTGAGCCATCTCTGTGATCTTTAAAATCTTTTTGTTTTGGTTTGGTTTCGAGATAGGGTCTCACAATGTCTACCTGGCTAGCCTGAAACTCCCTTCATAGATCAAGCTGGCCTTGAACTCACAGAGATCTGCTTTGCTTCTGCCTTTCAAGTGCTGAGATCAAAGGTGTGCACCTACATGACTTCCAAAAAATTTTTTTCTGAATTAAATTTATGAAAGCTTTCCTTGCTTCTGCTTTGGCATGTGTACAATAATGAGGTGCTAGAATATACATTATATATTACATACCCATTTTACACACACATACACAGATCCTTTGCAGTGGTAGAGAAAAACAGTTCTGATTTTAAAAATAAGTTTAAAAAGTTGACTTCAAGAATGTGGATGTGAACACCATAGAACTGCAGTAGTCTGGAAGCAGTACTAACGAGTGGGGTTTATGCTTGCACAGGAGGGAGCATTTTACAGGTGTTAGACCTAAACGGACCTCATTAGGCTGTGTTTGTCTCTCCTTTCCACAACACTTACCCGGAGGCTGCTGTGTGTCCATCTCTAGTAAGAGAAAGAGAAAGAGAAAGTAGATCGGTACTTGCTGGGCGGGCTGAGGAGCTGGAAATACAAATGGCTGTTAGGTGCTCAGAGAAGTTGCTTCCCCACAAAATGTCACATTCAGGCTGGACATTGAAACTGCCCTGTGGGTGTGTGCCAGAGCAAGTGGGAGCCAGACCTTTCCAAGGCAGAGGACACGGCAGAGACAAGGACACAGAGGCCAAGAATGTATGAAACCACGAGCCCTTTAATGTGGTATTTGTAGCTTGGTGACAGGAGGTGACATTGATGCATATGGATTAGTAAGCCCAGAACCTGAAATAAAAAATAAGTAACTCTCACAAACCTCAATTGCAGTGGGATTGACATGGAAAGGGAAGAATGCTATTAAAATTCATTTAACAAGGACCTGGTAATTTTTTAAGTTTTGTGTGTATCACACTACAGACAAAATAGGGGAAAGTTGAACATTGCCAGTCATAGGCAAAATAAAAACCCGAGCTTAATCCTTTAGGGCTGGAGACAACGTAGAGAGTTTTGGAGGTAAAAGTGACTGGACTTGATGGTTCCTTTAGATTTGGGAGAAGGGGAGTGGAAAGAAGGAAGCCTTACTCCCATGTTCCTGCCTTCAAACTGCGTTAAGTCTGTTTCTGTTTTTCATGTATTAGTAAGACATGAAATAGCCTCACATAGCCTTCCTAGCCTTCCTAGCAAGCTACCCCAAGGCTTCCGTCACTCCAGAAGTAAGATGTGTATGTCTCCTACCTTCCTTTTTCATGGGGATAATGGGTTTAGTCGTGTGGTCACAGAATCTACTCAACCTCCCTTTGATTTATATGTTCATTTGTCAGTATCGGAGTGAATGCCCACAGGCCTTGGCACAGGTGAGGAGGACTCAGGACATCTTGAGTCAGGCCTCTTCTTCTGATATTGGATCCTGGGACAGTTCAGACCCTCTGAACTGTCTTGCTGGCCCCCTCCAACTCTTTTGTGAATGGAAACTTCAGTTTACCACAAACAACTCCTGACTCTCTTCAGGAAACAGGTTTTCATTGTTTAAAATGAATCTACCAAGGCTGAACAGGTGGCCCAGCAGTAAAGAACACTTTCTGCTCTTCCAGAGGATCTGAGTTCTGGTCCCAGTACCCACCCCAGGCAGCCCCAGCTCTGGGGGATCCAGTGCCTCTGGCACCTGAGGGTACCTGTGTTCACATACATATACCCACATGGGAACACACACATCTACATTTGAATAAAAAAACAATAAAAATAAGTATTAAAAAAGAAAAAAAAACCCTTTTATTTACCCATGGAGGGATTGAACCTGTTAACACTTAATCTGTAAAACTGAAAAGGATTAAAAAAAAAATTAAAAAAATAAAAAAGGAGACCTACCAGTGTCCAGTAGGTGGAAGTTAGAATGAGGCAGATAATGCTGGGCACATGGCCTCTGGCTGTCAGAGCAGTCCTGTAATGGAAGAGACAGCGCCTGCTGGGGTGGGGCTGGGAGGCTGGGCAGAGAGGGAGTCATGGCTCTAAGGATCTAAGCCCACTCTGGGCAGCCATGCATCATGGAAAGCACACAGACATTCTTGTATTCAATAAGAAGTCAGAGTAGATTAAGGTCAGTTTAGGAATGAGATTTAAGCTCATGTCTATACATTACCCTAATTACTTGACCTCCAAGTAAAGAATAAGGGTGTACATGCTTAGAAACCTGGAATAAAAGCTGGAGATTTTGCTTCTGACTTTTTTTTTTTTTTTTTTTTGTAAAAGGATTTTTTGTTTTTATTTTATGTGCATTGGTGTTTTGCCTGCATGTGTGTCAGATCCCCTGGAGCTGGAGTTACAAACAGTTGTGAGCTGCCATGTGCATGGCAGGGCTTGAACCAGGGGCCTCTGAAAAAAACCAACAGTGCTCTTAACCGCTGAGCCATCTTTTCAGCCCCGCTTCTGACTTTCTACCTTGCCAATTCCCAGTCTCTCTCATTAAGGAAATCTTAACAAATCCTGTGCTCCTTATTGCA